CCGCTGCCCCGGCCCGGCCCGGCCCGGCCCGGCCCCGCCGCCCGCCTCCCCCCGGCCACGTGTCAGCGCCTCCCGCCGCGCCGTTCCGGGAAGTCCCGGAAAGCGCCGGGAACGGGGCCGGGGAGGGGGAGACCGGGGGTCCCTGCCCGCCCCCCGCCGGGGCGATGCTCGGGACGGGGCCTCCTCTCTGCAGCCCGCACCCCAAAAGTTGCACTTGCCCGTAAATAACTTCCCCGCAGCACCGGCTAAATCGAGCGCGTTTATTTAAAAATATGTATTTTTTTTTTTAATGTTGGGTGTGGGGAAGATACACGAGGGTTTCTCCTCTCCCACATCCTCTCTGGTTTTCACACCCTTCTTCTGGTACCCCAAAGCACCACTGTTTCCCCCACTTCTTGGGGACCATTGCCTTCTCCTCCCAGTCCCGCAGACAGGGCTGAAGAAAAGCCTCTGCCTCCTCTTTTTAAGGATTTCAGGCAAATATGATGTTCCTAGCTGAAGAGTTTAAGGAAAAACCAAGGATTGTCCCTGCTTGGTTTAACTGTGTTGGGCAGAGCTGTTGCCTTCCTTTAGGGCACGTGGGAGAGATAATCAGGCTCTTATGGAGCAATTAAAATAAGGRTGATGTCGAGCTAAAACAAGAGGATTTGTGACTCACCTCAGGACTATGAGTAAGTAGGAGGAAGAGCTTTGCTAAGACTGGCCCAGGTCACTGCGTGGCCATGCTCTTGAGCAGCATGGATGGCGCTTGTTGAAGCTCCAGGTTTGGAAAGGATGGAGCAGGAGCTTTAGCCCCAGTGAAGCTCCATGTTCGGAAAGCATGGAGCGGGAGCTCCAACCACTACTAAAATCCTGTCCAGCCCGGGAAAAGCGAGCAAAGCTCCAGGGCTGCACCCCGATATGCAGGTGCAAGGCAGGCATCTCCCAGCTGCTGCTCCTGCAGCCAGGAAAAGCAGCCTTGGAACGCTCATTAAAACTAAGCCTGTAGCAGACYCATGTTGAGTTTCCCTGGCCCTTCTCCTCCAAACAGGAGCAGTTTGCAAGTCCCTGAAGAGCTGCCAGTAACTTAAASTGGGAGGAGTAAAAAGAGCAGTTAGGAACTTAAATCAGGAGGTGTAAAAGCCTTATTGAGCTGAACTTCAGACCGGGAAATAGTAAAAGGTTCTTTACACGGCYTCGACATGACTCCAAAACAAGGAGGTCTCCAGGGCTCCAGCAAAAGCAAAATCACACTGTTCTCTGCCCCAGCATTTCAAAAGATCTGCCTCTAAAGGCAACCTCCTCATAGGGGAGACTTAGGTAAATGGGGAAGTGAGAGCAGCCGCAGTACTAACTACAGGGCTCAGTTGTCACCAAAATGTAGGTTTTCCTTCAGTTACTTGAACAGGAAACTATGCAAAGAAAGTATTTTTACTCATTCTGCTTCTGTGGCCTTTTCCAGAAGTGTGAGCCGAGTCCCAGCCCATTGTGGCCAAGATCAAAACCATCGTTCAGTGTGTGACGAGGGATTAGGAGGATTAGGGGTGTCTTTACCCTTATCCCTATAAAAGGCAGATGTGTTTGGAATTAATTAATTCTAGGTGGGAGAGGAGATGAATGCTGATATAACTACTACAGTTAAAGCACGAAATAAACTCTGAAGTCAAAGCTCAGATCTTGGGCACGATACAGTAACCTGAGATAGGCAAAACTGATTAGCTCAGACCCCTTTTCAAACTTATATGCCTACTTTATAGTCCCATTACTGAGGCTGTAAGCACTGTTATTAGCTACCCCCTTGGCTATCACCTTGCTCAGCTTCCAAATCATATCATAATTTTAATATGGTTTACAAACTTCTCTGCGGGTGTTGTACTCCTTCAACTCCCCTCCTTATGCCACTCCAAACCATCCCTTCAAGAAACGGCTGCTTTCAATTATTTGCTTCTCACATAGGAAGGAAGTTTCCCATTCAGAATTAGCTGTGGTTAAAAAACGTGTTTGAGTGTGAAGTTAACAGCCAGCTTGCAGCATCTACCACAAACACATAAATAAGTAAAAACATAGAAATTGTTCCTTTCACTGCTGCATAATTTTCTGAAAGCAAATCTCCCATTGAGCTGATTACAACAGCAAATGGAGTCAATTCAAAAGACAGGCACTAACTTAAGAAAATAATCTTACGTGAGAACATGACCTGYTTGATATTTCCATATGCTCAGCTTTATCTGCCAAAAGATTAAACCAAACAAAAGATTATTGCGCTAATACAAATATTACCTGTCCCTACAATTTATCCACAGTATGAGAATGATTTGAAGATTTTGTTAAGCAATAATCAAGAACAAATGCAGTTGTTTTTGAGGGCAGGGGAGGGAGAAATAGTCTCTCACRCTCACAGCTGCTGCAGTTGTCCAGAAGATCCAACTCTTGTCTCCTAAAAGGACAGTGTGGTTCTAGTTTGAGAACAATTGTCAAAGAAAGCAAGGCACATTGCTTCTAAATAGAACAGGGGTCTCCTAGACAGTCTCAGGCCCATCTCTACCTGGGTAAACCAAGGGCCGAGTTAGGGCAAAATTGTCCTTTTTTTTTTTTTTTTTTTTTTTTTAAGATAAGGGTCTGCAGGATTCCCCCAGCTACTGCTGACAGCAGGAGGCCCAGGTACCCGTGAAGATAAGACACACAGGGATCACGCTCCAACTCAATTTAATAAGCTGCATAACGAACTTGGACAGAAAGAGGTTTGAAGTAAGTCGAGAAACACTCATCTACTAGTCAAGGATGTTTTAAAGGAATGCTTTTAAGCTTAGACTCAAGCATACAAAGCATGAATTTTACAAATTAAAAGCAATAAAATCATCCTAGAATAATGTAATGGCTTCCCCTATATGTACAAGGAGTAGAAAGACAACGAAATTCTTTCCAGGCAACTTCACACMTTTTTAATGCTACAGAAGTGCTCTCCACATCCCTTTCAACTTTACTGTTAATGTGGGTGGAAGGAGCTGAAAATGTTTGAATGAAATCATCTTAAAACAGAGGTACTTCACCTGGTTTTAAGCTGCATCTGTTTGCCTCTTCAAAAGTCTTGAGAGGAAACACTTTAAATCTGCTGTTAGTTTCTGTGCAGCCATCTCTGCTTATCGAAAAGTGAAGACTTTGGTGAGTATTTCTCAAAAGTACTGCCCGTACTTCATCTTCAGACATCCATAATCCCCTGCCCTTCACCAACGACTCCATTGTACAACAGAAGCAGCCAAACTCCAGCTTAGCTTTGACACTCAAAAAATAAACATAGCAACATTCKGGAGACAGTGTTATTAAGGAGGTGATAAGTTTTAGAAAAGGAGTGAGATTTAAAGCCTAATCAAAACACACTTGATATAAAGTCTTCTCGCAGAGCCATACAAGACAGGATATTTTACAACCCAACTTCTTCATGTTCATAGAATTAATGATAAAACCTTATTCGCTTTCGACAACGGAAAGGTTGGGGGAAGAATGAGTAGTGTAGCACATTTAATTACCAGATTTGTTTGCCACCGTTGAGTTTGGAACAAATCTTCGTATAAAAGTCATTCTCACACTGTTTTAAATTAATTGGAACAAAATATGCATTTTTACACTAGCGCAAACTGATCAAAGTGGCATTTAATAATATTTGTTAAAGTGGTTACCTAACAAAAATGGGTCGGCAAAACCCCATTCATTAGTAGTCACCAAATAAGACATTTTTCATGCATATGACAAAAAGTTCATTCGTGTACTGACAGAGGTCTGTTTACTGTGTACAATATTTCCATAAATTATGTTTCACAGCCCCTACCTTTCAAGAATATTTCAAACAGATTATATATTATATTTGTATATGCAAACTATTTTATATACACTAATATAAAGATCCTTAGAAGTACCATTATGACTACCTTTATGCTTTCTCTAAAATGCATAGCTTTCAAATATTTTCTTGCAGTTACCAAAAACTTTACAGATTAAAGCTGCTTATCAATGTGGCATGTTCATAAAAACAAAGTAGAATACTTCTATACTAATTTCATATTAAACCCCTTAAAAAACATGTTTATTTTTAAATGGAAAAAAAAAAGCTAGTGAAAATTCAAGTAATCTACGCACAATCTTTGCCCAAATACTATAAGAAATTAATGTAGCGTTCTAGAAGTACAGTGAACTTCTCAACCAGGACTGTAATACTGCATTTCTCATGGAGAAAAATGCTAGTCATGCCACAAAAATGCACCACTTTCCACTTCATCCGGGAGAAGCTTTAGATGAGAGTTAGCAGTGTCAGAACAGAGGAAAAGCTGATCGTTTATACATGAAGAAATTAGAGCTATTCCAGTTTTGTTTCTTTAGCTTGTTATTAAACAAAGTTACATTAACCATACAGTCTATCACAAACTCAAATTACACATGGTTCTTAACAAATGCCTGGGGGGAAGGGAAAAAAAAAAGGGGAAGGAGTGAAAAAAAACAAACAAACCATTAAAAAAAAAGAGGAAATAAAACAGGTAACAGTTTGGTAAGTGTCAGAATAACCAGTCTGGATGAAGTAAAGCCAGACCACTCTTGCAGATGGGGGGAACTGATAGCTTGTTGTCTATGTATGAACTTTTAAGACCTGCGTACCACAAAAGCCTCAAATGTGGAACAAAACCATCAGTAATAAACGGGAAGAAACCAAAAATCTTTTTGTTATATCCATCATCTAGCTTAACCTTGCTGCTCTGCATCTCCAATAGCTGCTTCTCAAACAAAGATGTCCCTCCTCCACAAAAAAAAATAGCTACACAGGTAAACAGTGTTCACAGTAATGCAATCAGTAACAGGTTCTGTTAGTTTCCCTAGGTCAGGTGGATCTGCAAAGCTTTATACAGTTTAATGCATAAGTATTCCAGTAAAATTAAGTGAAAACTAAAGTTTCATTCTACAGGGTAGTATCTAATGTACAAGACTAGATTATGTACAGTATGGGCCTGGTATGACAGCTGCCAGTGTATCATGATGTTAAAACTGTTTCATCCATCACTGGTCTTTTTTCAGCAAGTCTGTTATAAATTGATAAAGGGGCTTAAAAATCTAGAAATTGGTTTGGCAAGATTAGTGCTTATTACTACCGGTTATACCAGTATACCGTGCTGCAAAATTAAGTCAACCAGGATATTCCATACCCGGATTACAATTTGCTGACTTGAAAGTCTGGACTTTACATGTATAACATTAAAACTAGAGTTTTAACTGGAGTGAGGAGTCAGTAAACAAAAGTAATACAGGTGAAGATGAACTGCATCTCTTCAGAAAGGTATGGAAGAATCGGGAAAAACGGAGATTTCGTTTTTTAAAAACAGCTCAGCTCAAGGCATAAAAATAGCCCTAAGTAGCCCTACAACTACCACTCTTACCCAGCAAGCATAAAGGCAGATCGTGCACAAGGTGATGGATCAGAGGCTTCCACGAGCACATTTCCCCCTCTTTTTCACTTCTAACACAAGTACATCTTTTCAGCTTTCAAAAACCCAGTGATCTTCAAGGCTTTAGGAACCTGCTGGCATCACTGTGGTATCTACAGCTGCAAGTTTTATACAGGGGGAAGGCCCCTTTTAACAAAAAACCTTACCTGCCTCTGGGGGCCATTTTGGTCGTTCACAGAAACTAAGAAAAAAATTATTTCCAACAATACTTCTTGTGAAAAGATGGGTCACTGATCCATTATGAACATAGTTCTCACCATATAAAGCACCAAAAAGTCAGAAACGAGGAAAAAAAAAGTCCTTAAATTATGATTTACAAGTTTGTACACTATTTCCAAGGCAAAAGGTTGACCTTACTGCAAAGTTTATAGATGAAAACTTAACCAGTTACTTTTAAGGGGAATGTATATCTGGCTATAACTTAAAGGTAGAAAATATTCACTGTTCTATATACACATTTCAAACAGGAGACAGTTAAACTTAACTGAATAGTTGCCAATAGAACTCCGTATTAGCTCACTGGCCACTAAACTAGGCAGGAGTAGCCAATTAGAAACCACGAGTTCTGTRCTTCTAAAAATGCTATTTTTTCCTTTCCTGTTTGTTTTTTTTTTAAAAATGTATTATAGTGCATAGCCTAAGTCAGACTTTCAAAGAGATACAGCGCCTTTCAATGCAGTTTTTGCAGCATTTAAAAGGGACTCTTCTCCCTTCAAAGTAGATGTTCATTGAAAAATCTGAATTGAGTGCTGTACTGTAGTAAAAATATTTCAGTCACAGACTGATATAAATGTATACTGTGCAGTACTAAGATTTTTTGATGTCCATCTGCACACATTTTACTTGGGTTCTTCAATCGTCCCCTTGCTGAGGTCTGTCATTTTCGGATATTTCACTTTCTTCTGGTCCAGCTCGTTCTGAGCCCACAGTAGTAGCTTCAGTAATTTTGCCAACTTGGGTGTTGATTCACGATTTTCATAGTCTAGGACAGCTTGGTTAACCTCACTCCATACCTAGGAAAGAAACACCAGACTTTAGTAGTAGTTTTCCTACAATTAAACCCAGTAACATCACAAATATTGGGAACATCACATGACTTGTTGATTCCTCAGAATATGGTCAGGAAAGAGCTTCATATCCTACAAGGCTGGAGAAAAGATGGAAGAGAGCCAAGTTGTCAACTACAATAGCACTATTTTTTTTTTTTTTTGAATTTCACTTCTGAAATATTTCCATTCTTTTGCATTCCATTGTATACATGTTTCTAAACAATTTTAAAAATATTTAGACATCACTTCCACCACATATGAATAAAGACAGGATTTTCTTTTGAGAAAGCACTACCTTCTGTCGCTGCATCATGTTAAGCAGGTCTCCGAAGGGCGATTCTTCGGGATTATCAAAGGCAAGCAGAGCCAGCGTACGCTCCATTTCTGTCAGGCATTCTCTGCTCTCCTCCCCTTGTTCTGCTAATTGGGTCTGAGCAAATTCCAGAGCTGCTTCTGTCTCACGCTGCCGAATCAGTTCAATCAAATGTTGCTGCTACGTATGAAAAATACAGCGATATTAGCTACTCTGCAGTCATCAGGATGTAATTTGAGACAAACATTAGTCCATAATTTGACAGTTTGAGGTCACTTCTAAGTGCGAGAAAGAGAAGCAGAGTTGTCCACAAAATCTACCGAGGAGACTGTCACTTTTGAAGAATAGGTTTGAAAGGTATGTTACTAGCAGAACTAACAGTAATTCAGAGTAACAGTAATTCAGAAGTTGCAAACTCACAGAGGACTGTTGTTGTTAGAAGTTTTCATGTTACTAATTGTATAAGGTAGTTACTGCATGGCATGCCACAAAGTTTCCCTTTGCTACCCAGTGAGATCATGAACACTTGAAATTGAAGGCATATTCAATCAGAAACCTCACAGAGCAGCCCCCAAACCCAAATTGATTAATTTTCTAGCCTCTCAGCAGCCCTTAAAATAAATATAACATTTGCCATTTGTCCATACCTGTAAATGAAAATAAAGATATCTGTTTGTATCTAACAATTCGGGATGAAGACTGTTTATTAATGCAATTGCTTCCTGAATCTGTCCTTTCAGGATCATTTCTCGAATTTTTATTCTTTCATCCAAAGTCTCCAGATCAACACTGGGTTCAATTCCAGACTCCATTCGAAATTTCTCTGCYGCCTCTTTAAAGCCCTCTGAAATAGAAAAATCTTATTTATCTTTATTTAAAAATCTTTATTTAAAAAAAAAAACCCTTAAATGGAAAGATCGGTGCATTACTTGTGYATTTTTGTGGTTAAGAATTAATTCTGAAAAGTTCTTATCTAGTTGATAAGTATCACTTAATTATAATCGGCATCCAATAATGCTTAATTCATTCTTAATTCAACTATCCTCCTTCTATAAAGGAGCACACAAGTTACTGTCTGACATCCCTTCAATATAAAACTCATTTTACACTTACACTGAGCAGTATACTTATCCTAAAATGTTACCATTTTCAAAATCTGGGCTTTTTTCCTTTGCCATATACCCTTCCCCCCAATTCTATTTACACAGACTTAACAGTTTAATTGAAAACAAACAGAAAAAGGTAAATGGAATTTGTTTCCCATTCCAACACTCTATTCTCTCRAAAGAAAAAAGTTACAACTTTTATATTCTAAATCTGGCTTTCAAACACACACAAATGATTTGTGATGCTTAATACACCACRGAGGTGCTTTTGCTGCATTTCAGAGGCTCCAGCTACACTGCACAGYGGTAAACAGGGGTGTAGATCATAAACAAAAGCCTCCACCCCAGTATAGCTTACTGGGATGGCATGCACTATAATTGCTAGGCACACTTCTGGCCGCTCTTGATTGTCACAAGCATTAAGTTAGGCTATATGTAACAGGTAAATATTTCTTGTCCTGGGCAATTTTGCCCTTTTACAGTTGAGTTTTCTATCCAGTTAAAATTTGCTGCTGACAATTAATCTGTTCARCTTTGAGAGTGCTATTTAACAACAGCAACATACTTTGAACTCTGTTTTAATGTCAAAAAGAAGGCCTGTATAGGGAAGGAAGTTAAGTTTGTTAACATTGTGTACCAAAAAATATTCTTTTTTTCCCTCTATCATGAAGAGTTAGCATTTAATAAATGTCATTTCTATTTTATGAAACCTGCTAAGCTCCTGCTTGAAGCTAATTAAGTTGGTTTCCACTTAACAGAACACAGGAGCAGAAGTGTGTTGCTAAGGAAAGCCAGCAATAATTACAAAACCCTTCATTTTACTCCATCTAGTAGCACATTCTACCAAAAACTGTCTCGGTGAAACAAATTGCATCAATTTAAGAATCTCTTAGCTTTACTACTTGTTGTTACCTGTGACAAGGTAGTTCATGATAAGGCGGTTCATGTCTGCTCTCTGAATATGCAAGTTATTAAGCTTTTCCATCCATTCGTCTTTTGTGATTTCATCAGGTTTTTCTGCATAACTCATCCTGGACTCTTACTACAAGGAAAGAAAAGCATCTMATTTAACATATTTCCAGAAAAACAAAGCTAAATGTGCCTGAGTACTATGTTACTAATACCTTTATATCATTTTTTTTCAAACAAGTTGTATTAAAACAGCAATCAAAAAAAGCATGTTTCAAACCATTATTCTATATTTTCACTCCCCTTGTTCCCCTATACAGACCAGTCTCTAAGGCTGCCATCGCCAACCATCAAAACACAAGATTCAAACCACATCTTCCCATATTTCTTTCCAAYGTAGCCCACACAACTACAGCACAAGGGCCATACAACACAGGCAGCGTCACAAACGAATCAAAGAGTTTGACAGCAAAACAGAGGCTTTGTTAACAAGCACCTAAAGCGAAACCTCCGCCTACAGGACCGACTGTAAAGGCTCCCACAAAGCCTCAACTGGAGAGCTACAAAACAGCACCCAGCAAAGTTACCTTGCGTGCAAATGATCCCCTTACACCAGCTTCGCTTGGGTGCTGCCAGCAAAAGTACCCCCGACAAGACTTCTAAATATTATTACTTATTTTKCTTTTCCCTTGACTGCCTAATTTTTAAAGGTGGAAGCTGAGCGCTTGGCTACCCTTTAAGCCGGCGTTTAGTCACAGCCCGGCACCTCCCYGCACGTCCGGGGGCAGCGGAAGGGTGAGGAACGACAACAACAACAACAACAGGCACCGCGCGGGCCCCCTTTCCATCAGGTGTGTCCCCGCTCTGGGGCCGCGAGCGGGGCGAGGCGGGCCGGGCCGCGGCCCTCGCCAGGCCCCGGC